AAGCTATAAGAGGGGAAGCAAAAGCTGTGAATGACCCAGCCATACTATAAGCTAAAAGGACACAGTGGATAGCTATGCAGTTATTGGAAAAAAATGCACAACTCCTCTATTTGCAAATTCCCAGAAACATATTTATTTGCACTTGTATTTTACTATAGTAGATGCCTTGTTTATATACATAATATATATATAACCTACAGAAACATGTCTATGCATTATTTGCAGAGTGAAACTGTAATCTTGGGTTTAAAAAATCTCCAGAGATGCAACCAAAGGTTTAAAATCTTTATCCTCCAAAGGTAAATCTAGTATCTTGTCTTCCTTTAAAATTGCTAATAATAAAAATGTTAAGATTCTATTTTCCTAAAGTAAATGCTTTGCCAGTGTAGCTATTTTTAAGTGTGATGTTTAATAAGCCAGTTTACAGTAGCATGCCTAGTGAATTTTTGCAAATCATCTATTCAAGCTTGTGTGTGTGTTTTTATAATAAAAGTATCTAAATTGTATGTTGGTGTCATGGATGACACTTTGCTGTTTTGATGTTATTCCATCTCAGCTGTTCCAGTCTCGAGCTCATAGTATCTGATTGGCACGTGGTCAATCATCAGTGAACAGCCGGTAAGAGTGTAGCGGCTGATAACTTATTCATATGGAGGATGATAGCCGTGGTCCAGGTGGATTTACACTATAACGCTTTGCTCGACCTCTCAGTCACTATATTTTAACCCAGTTATTTTAAACGTGGAACATATAAACTGCGCTGTCCTTTACAAAAACTGTAATCTCTTAAATTAAGCGATTCACATCACACTTGTACACTGTAGGCGCTTTTAACAAAGTTGAATTTCCAATATGGTTGGAGAGGTTGTTGTTGTTGAGCAGATTGTTGTCATGTCCCCACAGTGCCTGTAGTGGTGCTGTGAGGAGTCTGCTGTGGCTCCAACAAATATCCTCAGCAGCCTACCTACTGCTAGTAATTTGCTCCGGATAGCACATATTTATACACATTCTCATTTCAAGATACACGGACCTCGATGAAGATCACTATTACTATACTGTCTCGAATATCGATGCACAAATAGCCTAACTGATTCTAATAGACTTTTCGGCCGCCTGTGTGGATCGAATAGCGTACACAGCCCATACCAATTCAAGGTAAGCGAAGTCGCATCCGGCCTCGACTTCAGAGTGTGCCGTTTTGCTGAGGCTTCAGTTGGCCACGCGTTCTACTAGAGGCCGATGTGCTATCGGGGCTAAGAGGCCTTTCATTTACGACTTATTTAATTTACATCTTGTGAACTGGCAAAATGACTCAGTGCCTTCAGCTGATATGGAGAGTTCCGCAGTGCTTACAGTTTTAAGTCTTGTAGCCTGCTAATGTCACATTAAGTAACAATAGTGGCTATAATTCATATGGTTTATTATGGAGGCCTTCAGGGACAGGCCCTAAGCCTCGCATGTAGACCCTTTGTTAGAAAGTAATTGGCCATAAATGTATGATGTGTATATACACTGACATCCCACGACTGTGGCCGATCATTAAAATGTAGTACTTTATCATAATTGATTCATTTTCTAAACTAAAACTAAACTGAAAATATACCTTTTATAGTGTTGCCTTTTGCTTATGTTTCCGTTTCCTGGTTAGCTACCGCCTACTAATTTCTGTTTTTAGCTTTGATAGCTCTTTAGCTAACTAGGAAATTGGACTTTTCGTGTCTTGTTTATGTTGATAATATGTATTTCTGCCTGAAGATGGATATAATTGTGTTTTATGGATTAGGACACGGGTGTGCGTTATACGTAGTTGCATTCACAATTTCATAATATAAAGTTTAAAATCTGTATATCGGCTTCAAGCTAATGTCTGCAAGCTAGCTCCCCGGACCCAAATTGTAAGTAGTCACCGTTTGATGCTGATTCTCCGTATTCAAATAGAGCTGTTAAGTTACGGTTATAACACAATTTGCATCTAGCCAGCCTGTCCTTATGTGTCCAACATGTACTTCACCTGTCAGAACCGTAGCTCTCAGAACTAATCTGAAAACATTAAACTAGGGGTAGCAGTTCACCTTTACGGCGACTGCAGCTAAAGCTACAGTTATCATTAACCTGCAGTTTATTGTAATATACAACTAGAGCCTTATTTGTATGCTTGTTGATGATAAATTGCTATAGTTTTAAATCAGCCTATGTGGCGCCCGTTTAGTCATGAAAGGGGACTTTTTGAGTTATTTGAGCATCTGCTGATCTTGTAATGATGCACACACTCTAGAAAGTAACTGCTTTTTAGTATAAACTTTGTCGGGAGACCACCGTCGTGCAGTATACTGTCTTACCACAATCACATCTTATTGCTAAGTGCCAGCTGTAGAGATAAATGAATGGATTGAGGAATGGAATTGCATACTCTGCTTACCACCTGTTTCTCAGTGAGAGATTTTGACATTGAAAATTTGTTGTGAAAGCAATATTCAGACTGTCGTTTTCAAACAAGTATTTATATTTAAGTACAATATCATTCACAGCATTCACTTATATAGCTGTTAAATGAGCAACAGTCACTGAAATCGGTGGAATAGCATTTCATTTTGGACTTTGGACAGCAAATTTTATTTCATAATTTCATTAATTTCCTGAATATGTATTCTCATTACATACTTATATCTGCTAAGGACTAAAAATTACTTGTATAGGTGATGATTTCACTGCCTCTTAATTCTAAATGTGCATGCATGATCAACTCTAGTATAAATATTTAGTGATGTAATTCTTGGTTTTTCCCCAACTCTCACATCAGCTGATGTTGTCAAGGACAAGAGTCACGTGATGTATGAAGGCAAACACATACACTTCTCAGAGGTGGACAATAAGCCGTTATGCTCGTACAGCCCAAAGCTCTGCAAGCAGCGCAGACTTAATGGCTATGCTTTCTGTATCCGGCACGTTCTGGAGGACAAGACCGCCCCCTTCAAGCAATGTGAATATGTGGCCAAATACAACAGCCAGAGATGTACCAACCCAATCCCCAAGTCTGAGGACCGCAGGTTTGTATGATTGGGTGCATGTGTGGCAGAGTCCACTATGCTGTGCAGAAAACGTATGTTACAAATGTTCACACTATGCTCAGGATGTGTTGTTGTCTTCCAGGTACTGCAACAGTCACCTGCAAGTTCTCGGCTTTATCCCCAAGAAGGAGCGGAAAAAGAAACATGATGCTTTGGAAGAAATGCGCACACAGGCTCACCTGGAGTCAGTGGCACTCAACATAACTGTGCCCTCTCTAGCTCTGAAAGCTCCAAATGGTCTAGATGAACTTCCGCCATCTCCCCCCTGTACACACTTGTTACCCCTTCCTGATGGGGAACTCCTGGACCCTTTTGCCTTTTATGAGGATGGCACCGATGGTGAAGAGGTGAGTACTCCTCGGAAGAGTAATGCCATCAAGAAGAAATTACATAGTCGGCTGGTGCTCAACGAGAAACTCTGCCATGACACAGACCTCTTCCAGCCACCTTCAGAGCACTTTAGTCCTTCCCCTGTCCCCCGTGTCCATCCTTCCTCGCCGATCAGCGTTCATCTCCCACGGCAGCAGTCAGGTCTTCTCCAGCCGCCTCAGCACTCCAGTGTGACTTCCGTCATCTTCCCAGGACAGCAGCAGGGTTTATTATGCAATCCACCACCACCTCAGACGGCCAACTTTCTGCCTCCAGGGATAACTTCTAATGCAGTACCCAGTCCAGTGCAACCTTCTGGGCCATCACTCGGCAGGAAAATACCTTTCACTGCTACTCCCATGCCTGTCAGTTGCAAGGACAGTGGCAGTAACAATCAACGGCATGTGGTTGTGATGCGTCCTGCTGCCTTCTCACCTTCTGCCACCTGTTTGGCCAGGTTGCAGCATCTTGTGCAGCTCTGCGCCAAGAGACAGCGGGAGCACGGAGATCTGTTTCCTCATCTAGGTACTGCATTGTCATTTATTTGGCGCCTGTTTTAAAACTCAGTGCTTTTTTTTGTGTTTCTGTTTTACATTTTGAAGGAATATGTACAGAGCATCGAATATAATGCGCTGAATGAGAAAAAAGCCTATGGATGAGCTACTCTTAACAAGTTCTCTTCCAGGATTGGACTGGTCAGAAGACAGTGCGGATGATGAGGAGGAGGAGGAAGCAGACAGACTTGCTCCTTTTCACACCTCTTGGAGACCACAAAATGGGTTGGTAGTCTAATACTTTACCTTACAACAATAGATTTTGTCCTGACGTTTTTCATCATGTTTTAATTCATTCTTGAAATAGGCTGGAAGGCGACATTGGTTCCTCCCGGAGAACACGGCTACTTAGGCTCTGCTCGTACCTCCAGGAGAAGTACAAGCACATGTGCAGGCAGGAGAGGGCGAGTATCCGCCAAAAGAGATACCGCTATGCCTTCCGCAAAGCCTTGCTGCACGCTGCCAGTAACAGTCCCAACTGTGCTGGGCAGCTGATCCAGGAGCTGCATGGTGCCTCTCAGAGCTTCTCAAGGTATTTTCACAAATGTCATATTAGTCAGTTTTGTTTATCTCAGGACCAATATGAATACAGTAGGATTAAAGCCCATGTGTTGGTAGATACTAGCCGGTCACAAACCTTACATTACCCACCAGTAAGTTAGAAATTCAGTCCATGTAATTTCCAAAGTAGATATGGTTAAATCCAATATTTTATATTAGGCTAAATTCAAATTACAAGCTTTAATGCTCAATTACAATATTTTTGTGAGATCAGACTTTTTGCATTGATGGTTCACATTCATGTCTGCATGTTACATGTATCCTGCTCCAGTGTAAACACCACTGAGGTCCTATACTGCTATGCAGATTTAAGTCTAACCTGTACAAGAATAGCATCATTTCAGTAATAGTCCAGTCACACAATTTCCTGAAAAACTGTGGTAATGGTATGTTCCTTCCACCTTATCTCGATCAGAAGCTTCTCTGTAAATGTCAAACAAATCTGAAACTTCCTCGTCTCTCTACTTTCCTGTTACTGTTGTTGTTGTTGCTCTCCTCCGTGAGGTGCTGACACTGAGCTACGGTGCCGGGAAATATGCATGAATTCTGATCTGACTGTTCTGATAGCGGTTGCCTAGTCAGATATTGGATATGAACCGCATCAATGAGCACATATGCAAGTAGCCTAGATCTGATTTGGAGGAGAAAAAAACACGTTGATACTTAAGTGAAAAATACCAGTGCTGAGTCATGTAAAGTGAACATAGCTTTGGTGCTGCTTTTATGACTGATTTGTCAGTTTTCTAATGCAATCTTTATCACCTCATTTGAAATGTACCAAATATGACAAGAGCAGAGTGTTTTCAGCATTGTTAGCTGTTTGCTCAGTCCTGCTGCTCTGTGGCTTTACAGTGTGGCTCCAGCAAGGCAGCAGAACACAGATGCTGGGACCTGCACTGGCAGTACAAAGGGCCAGGCGTGCAGTGACAGAGCTTTGCCCTTCACTCAACACTGCTTTCAGCGTATCCTTTGCACCACTTCAATGACTAGCACAATGGCTATGATTGTATTGTCTAGTTTAGAATATGATTTAGTCAATTTCAGTTGTACATGATTTTTTTAAATTCTTTTACCACATACTGTGATGTAAAACATCTCTGTGTGATGGAGTATTCATAAGCACATGCCCTCTGTCTAGTGTACTGTGTTATTTCCTTTACTGGTTTCTGTAGACATTCTGTTGAATCGCTATCAGCAGCTCTTTGCTAGTTGCACAGCCAAGTTTGCAGATGGTCAGCAGTGTTCCATCCCTGTGTTTGATATCACGCACCAGACACCCCTCTGTGAAGAGCATGCCAAAAAGATGGTAGGTTCAGTGGTAAATGTTTTTTTTTGGTTTTGCTTTCATGCCAAGAGTTAGATGAAAAGACTGATGCACCTTTCCTGTCTGGATGCTAAATATGAAGCTGGACCAGCAGTCAGTTACCATAGCTTAACTGAAAGATTGGAAACAATGAAACAGCTACTGTGTCCATATGTAACAAAATCCACCTAGAAGCACCTTTAGAGCTCACTTTAACTGTTTTCAGGCTTTATGCTAAGCTAAGCTAAGTGGCTGCTGGCTCTAGCTAATGCTACATAGTTACCATACAGCCATGAGAGTGGTTTCATCTAACTCTCAGCAACAAAGCAAATATTCACATTTCCCAGTATGTTGAAGGTTTCTTTTAATGTTCTCTTCACTGATTTTGACTTCTGTTTGATTTCATAAGGGTTTATACCATAACTCAGTGCTCTTCTGTACGTTCCACACAGGATAACTTTCTGCGTGGGGATGGAAATCGACGAGTGCAGCACCAGCAACAGCGAAAGCCACGTAAAAAGACCAAACCACCGGCGCTCACCAAAAAACACAAGAAAAAGAGGAGGAGAGGACCACGTAGGCCTCAAAAACCCATCCCTCCAGCGTTGCCACAGGGGAACCTGGGAATGCCTTCTACAAGCCTAGCAATGCCCTCGCAGGCTAGCATCAGGTGCGCTACAGCTGTGCCTTTATGTAGTATGTGGGGGTCCAGTTTCAAGGAAAACATCCCGATTCACAGGCTCTCATGTCACACGTTTGAACAGCTCCTTCAATTCAGTGACTTGTAGTACTATCTCTATAAGCATTTTAACATCTGTTCTTTGTTGCAGGAGCCCTTCAACTCCAGACCTGAGTACAGATGAGCTTCCTGACGATATCACCAATGATATAGCAGACATTCCAAATGACCTGGAGCTAAACCAGGAGGATTTCTCTGATGTGTTACCCAGACTACCTGATGACCTGCAGGACTTTGACTTGTTTGAAGGTTATCTTATGTTCTTATGCATGATCAGGTGTACACTAACAAAATCTTCCTGCTCTGTGATTTTAATAATAATAAATGTTGCTTGTGCACATATATGCAGGTAAGAATGGGGAGCTCCTTCCCACCACAGAAGAGGCCGAGGAGCTGGTGCGTGCTCTGCAAGCTATGGGGTCCTACCCAGACTCTTTGGTGTGCCTGACTTCCATGGGAGACCTGGCCCCTTCTGAAGGAGTGGACCACCGAGTTATGACTGTGTTTCCTGGTCCGGTCCAGCCGGGGACCATGGGGGACCTGCTCAACAGCCGCATCCCTACAGAGAACTTCACCAGCCTCGAGCTGGAGGACAATATACTGCAGTCTACTGGGGGTCACTTTCCCCCTTCACCTCCATCTCAGCCTGCTGACCAGCCCCCAACTTCGTGCTCCAACCTAACCTCATCTTCTTCTGCAGTAGCCCCCTCGACCACCTCCCTGCTCACTCAGACCTCCATAACGGAGCGAATGTTCTCCCGAACCCACACATCCCATGTACTGGCTAAGCCGGATGCACCCACATCATCTCCCCAGGGCAGTCACTACAGCAGCGAGCATGTGCCATCCCCATACAGTGACCACATAGCCTCTCCCCATGCCAGCTCCTTCCAGACTGACACACCTCTGCTGCTGGAAGTCCCTCTCAGTGGGGTACCAGGACCCCCACGCTCATGGAATAATCTCCCTCTGCCCCTCACTGACCCCACACAGTTTGGCAATCTCATAGGGTCAGAAAGTCATCTCATATCAACCTCCCTGTCCACTCCCCCAGCCACCACCCACTCTGTGACACTGCAGCCCATGGCTGCCCTCTCACCGATGCCTCAGAGTGGCTTGACAGGTATATCAACTCCCCCTGCTCCCTCAGCCTCCTCACATGATCTTCTGACCTCCACACAGCCCAAGCAACAGCTCCCTCAGTTCAGCGCGGCCTTTGGCCATCAGTTGGCCTCCCACAGTGGCATTCCGAAAGATGTGCAGCCCAGCCACAGCTCCATAGCGCCCCCCGCTGGCTTCTCCATAGTTAGTGCCACTGCTGCAAGTGCCAACAGCACCACACCACCTTTCACGCAGAGTAAATGAGAGCAGGCAGCCTGCAGCAACTGCGTGATGGTCCGTGGACCCACAGTCACTTACAATCCACCCGACTGGCTTCTGATCGACTAGCCCTGTTCGTCTACTACATGTGTGCAATGTGGTGATAGTGCACTATTTGATAATGAATTTGCACAACCTCAGATTTTTTCCTCAAATTTTCTATTTTTGTTCTTTTACTCTGTAGCCAGGTGATCACTGGGATTTTAAGTGAGTGTGAGTCCACTCGTTTAATGCCTTGTGGTTTCATCAGCAGGGGGTTACAGGCAGATTTTGAGGTGAAATAAATGAATGGGTGAAAATTGGCAGAAGGACCTTTCCAGAAATGATCTGTCACAGAGCTCAGAATTCATAGATGCCTCAATCAGTGGTTGGGGTTATTTGCTTTGCCAGTTCAAGTCCCATCTTAAAATGATCAGCTGCACCCTGCCTTGCTCAGATGGCCATTGCATTTTGTTTTTTTTAACCAGTTTCATACACTGCTTCTGTCACTCTATGAAAAACAAGAGTATAGGTTGTGATATTTGTGATCCATTATGTTTCAAGCTATTTAAATGTTATCATGATATAGAATCTTACTGAGTCAGATTTCACAGTCATATGAATTTACCAAAATACTTTTAAACAACTGTTTTTATATTGTGTATACTGTATATGTGCTCATTTATTGGTTTGCTCAGATGTCAAAATCTCTGACCTCACCATTGGTTGTGGGACTCTGAGTGGCCTAGTAGACACTTGAAGGTAAACATAGTTTCTTAAAGCAATAAACACATTCACATATCTTTAGCATCATAAGGTATTTATCTCATCACATGTAGCTTCACTTGCTGAATCCAGACTAGATCAGGAATATATTTTGGCCACAGTTTCACTCGGATCTAAAGCTATATGCTGTCAAGGTCAAAAATAGGCTCTAGTTCTATAGACCAGTGATCAGGCCAGCCTCTTCTTTTGGGTCATAATGACTGGATTTCTGAGGCTTCAGTGTTATGGTAAGGGTGATGATAGAGTAAACCAGGGACTTTTAAGTGTCTACTTTCAAAGGTGCTCTCTGGTCCACATACAATGGTACTTAGTGACTTGCATGTCTCATAAAAGGCTAATTCAGTTTCAGGCCTCCAAGGAAACCCACAGTAAGCCATACTACAAAAAAGGCATAGGTGGTGAATTGGCACTGGAAATTTTTTTTTTCTTCTTAATTGATGAGTTTGGTAAAATATGATGGCATAAATTGGTGTGTGGAGCACATCGGAGATGTGCTTTACTGTATGCTTTACTCTAGTGATCTTAAATGATGCAAAACCTGGGGTCTGATTTTAATTTTAAAAAGGACTCAGCTACTTGACTAATAGTGATTCATACAGCAGTACAACCATGATTTTTGATAGATATTATATTAGACAGATTGTCAGACATTGTTGAGTATTAGGTATATAGAGTAGCAGTCTCTATCTTGGGGTTTGTTGGTGAATTATTGAGTACCAATGGATTGAAATTGTTCTTTGCATTGTATTCAGTGGAACCTGTGTCTTGTAGAATGAGTCTTATTTTTAATGGCTATCAAAATGGTTAAAGGTTCTCTTTAAAGTTGGAGGGATCAATGTTTGTATGCTGTCATTTAAAAAAAAAAATATATATACTGATGGAGAATATTTTTGATAGCTATTAAACTCCAGGTAGAAGCCTGAGATTGCATGGGGCAACAACCTTTTGTGTGAAAGCATTATAATTAATATTAGATTATGGTCACTGGCTTGATTCTTGGTGGAATGAAACATTGGATTATATGCATTTCATTTCATTTTGTGGGGTGGGGGGAAAAGGCAGATCAACATATACAGTATGTTTTTCAACAGATTTGCACAGGAGTGGGTGAGGCCGGTTGAGTTTCACATCACATGACTGTCTTGCCTTTTTTTTTTTTTTTTGCTCAGATGCTCATTAAATGAATGGCTGCCATCATTACCAGCTCTGAGCCTGCACCACACCCCTGTTTCCATCTGTGAGAAGGCCTAGTTCTGTCTCTCCCTTCCAAAGAGAAAACACATGAAGTGTAAACCTGTAGCTCCACCAGAGACGACTGGGCTTCTCAGTGACTGCATTGTTTGTCACAAATACAGCGCCCATTAACAGCTCCAAAAAAAAAAAAAAAAAGGGTTGGATGAAAATGTTTGCTAGGCAATACTGCTGTATCCACATAGCATGAGATTAGTTGCTGCACCAGTTTGCTCTCCCAACAATATAGAACAAAATTAACAGGGCTCGTAGGCACGTAACTGCTTGGAATTCAGAGATGGCTGACAAATTCCTATTCTCATTGAATGTACTGTAATACTGTTTTTAAAGATAGGATGAGCTAATCTAGTCACCTTTTATTATTGGTCCTTGTTTAATTTGTCTAAGGTATTTTTTGTATACAAAGGTTTACATTTTTATGTATATTTTTCTTGTGTACAAATTATGTAAGATATGTACAAACACTATGTAATATCTGTATATAGTGTGAGAAATCTGATCTTTTGTTTTTGGATGTATAAATAAAACTTGCTGTGAGGTATTTGACATAGTTTGTTGTGTTTTTACAAGATGGTCTGAATTTGCAACTGGCTCATCTGCCACAGTGTCTTTTTAAATTTGTGTGCATGCTGTGTGCACACTGTGCATAGAAAAAAACAAAGCCAAGTGCAAAGCATAATTTTATAGTTCATCCTTTTTTGCTATCATGTTCGAGAATAAACTATCGATTAATTAGAGTGACAGGAAATTTATTGTAGTCTAAATACCCTTAGGTTTAGACTGAACAACACAAGCAAGTAGCAAATATTACTCTGACTTTATGGGAAATAGTGATTAGCTTTATTTTTTAAAAAAGTTTCTGACATAGGCCAAACAACTCATCAGTTAATCAAGTCAATGCAGCCTTTTAACACTGAATCTCAACTGCTAAGCCACATGAAGAGCTAAGTGCTCAGAAAAACATGGAATTTTAAGATTTACATGACAAACTGCTGATGAAATTGCACTATACTGTACCTTTTAAAACATCTTTTGCGTATTATCTAAATCAAAAGACATGGATGGTCATTTCTGGATCAATTCTGCATATGGAAAATGTAAAAGGTTTTCACAGGCAAGCAATTTCAAATAAGGTTGCATTGAGTTATATAACTTGATCAAATAATTGTAAAAATTTTTACTGGAATTTTTTTCCCTTAATCATTTGACAATTTCCAATAAATTCAACAGCACTGATCTGAATTAGCAAACATATACTGGACTATCAACTGTCAGAAAAGTCACACAAAATGAAAGGTACATTTTAAGTGATTGGTAGCCAGTGTTTACTGAAACTTTAACATGTCACAGAACCAAACTTTACTCCCCCTATTACACAAGACTGTGCTTTTGGGTTATAAAAATAGTCCAATAGGATATATGCCTATTTGTGCTAAGAAATTATTCCTGGCGATCACATGGCTTTATGGCCATATACACACACAAAAGGGCGACTGTGGTTCACTGGGTAGAGTGGTCATCTAACAACCAGAAGGTTGGAGGTTCGAATGACGGTGCCTGCAGTCTACATGTCGAAGTGTCCTTGGGCAAGATACTGAACCCCAAGTTGCCCCGATGGTTAGAGCCATTGGTAGGAGTTGGCGCCGCAAATGGCTGCCTCGGTTCTGTACCAGAAACAAACTCCTTGTTTGGCCAAAAAAGTAATTATCCTTATCTGGGAAGGGGGAAGAAAATAAAGCTGGTTTAACATAATATTGCAGCACTGCTAAGTACCATTTATTTTTTTAAATAAAATAAAATCAACAAAGTGCACACACAAAAAGATAAAGAATCATATTAGACCAGATAAAAGGTGCACATTTGTGTTGAATGTATGTCTCTGTTTGGGGTGGAGGGCTTACATGACACATTTCACATGAGGAGGTAATTAAAAAGCTGAGTATTTTAACAGAAGAGCCGAAAAACTTAAATGTAGGGTCTGATAAGCCTTTTCTACGTATCTGACTTGCTCATTTGGCATTCTCAACTGTGTTCATAATTTGATATTTTATTCACTATCTTGCTGAGGATCTACACCTCCTCTCTACAAAGCTGATCCAAGCCTTAAGCTCTGCCCACTTTATGAGGTACACCTGTACAACTTCATCACAGCTAAGCTATGGAAAAGAAGAGCACAACGGTGTGTTTCTGGTGACGCTGTCAGAAATGTAGAACTAATTAATTAGATGACTGACTTCAATAAATAATTTCATGTAAAATGGTAAATATTTTCTGGCTCCAGCATCAGGATTTGCTGCCTCTCCTTTAGACAGTAATTTAAAGTTATTTTTAAAATAATTTTAAGGTTTGGAGTGATTGGACAGAAAAAGCATTGTGAAGGTCTCTGTGGGTTAACTGTGTTGGCATATCTCACCATTAGTATTTTTACATTGGCATTAGTACTTTTAATTAAGAGTAGGATCTCAATACTTGCTCCTCCACTGTTTTACTGTTATTACTTGAAAATGATAATTTAATGCCTTCATTGGAATGCTGATGGCATTGAAATAACACTTCAAAAATGCTTATAGGCATCATAAAAGTAGGCAATGGCAGGATAGTTACATTAGATTACATTAAATTGTACAGGCTTACCTAATAAAGTGGCCACAGAATGAGTGGTATAAATCTTCTCATCCAACTCTCCCCATAAAGCAAATAAATATATTTTCCAAAACGTCAAAGTGTTTATTTAATGTGGCCTGTGTACTGTGCACCATGTATTGCCCTTTAGCAAAAATATTTTGTCTCCATAAGATTTCTCTCACTTCTGGCAAATAAAATGAGTCAATTTGTTCATGTACAGATTACTCTGAATGATCATTTCTCATTTATCTTTTAAAGTTCTGCTGCATATTCATTTAAATGCAGGGTGGGGGTGGGAACCACAACAAAAACAATAATGATACTATTCATCACAAATGCTCCAAGGCTGGTTCAGCTCTGTTCAGGGCTCAACATTCCTCCAGTCCTGTTGGAGTATGCTACAACGCATACTGCTCAGGCCAACCAATAGGCTACTGTTGATCATGCACATTCCTTTTAAACTAGAGTCAGAAGTAGTACCAGTGTCACTGGTGTCTGAACACCTCCTGGCTTTTTGTTAATATGTACATCAGCTGCAGCATCGCTTACTGAGTGAGAAGTCGACGTCTATATGCATTTACTGTACAACTGAAAAACTCCTCACATGCCCGAATGGAAAAATACAGAGGCAAATCTTAAACTGCAGAGTCCAAGCTGTGAGACTTCAGATGGACTTGTGTCCCAGATAGTATGGTGCATACCAAACACTAAGTCTCATGCTACCGTTTTATGGCTACACTGTTTATGGTAAAAGGCATTTATATTTGAAGTGCAATTAAAGCTGTAGGTACGCTGAGGAGATAGTACCATCACAGCTCCTAGGAAGACTGACACTCTGCTGATTTATAAACCAGATGATGGCACTGACCTGTTAATTGAATGAAATGATGAAACCTCAGTTTTTTGATCAATCAATTACATACAGCAAAAAGGGGGTTGGGGGGAGGAGTGGGGGATTAATCCCAACAAACCAACGCCCCTCGAGGCCTATGGGAACAGGGCTGGAAAGAGCATCCAGTGTTTAAAACTGGTGGGGCCTTGAACAATCCAGCCTTTTTTAAAAACATTCTTCAACATTATTATATCCACAGCATGGTGTGTAAAGCCAAAAGGTTAAAGAGAATTAAGATGATAAATCAATACTGAAACATGAAGGCAGCCATTTTCAAACACTGGATGAGTACTTAAAAAGTTTTACATCTCAAAAAAAAAAAATCAGACTGATATACAAAAGAATAAGCACAAAGGCAAGGCAATCTCATTTATGGCCATTTTAGTCTCTCAAAATCTTTACCTCACAACCATTACCTACAGTTTGTATTTGGCCATGTGTACACAGTGGTTCCATTACAAATCTGTAATGAATCTGTAGAAATTAGCTTATTTACAAGTCTGTACAACCACCCTACAGAGCTCTTTCCATCTCCCAGTGGACCCAATCCACTTAAAGCAGGATACCTGAGTTGTCAATAGAATGCTTCAACCCACTCACCACACCTTTACAAGGGGTATCTTGCACAGCCACATGCACACAATTAATTAAGCAAGGAACTTTCTCCAAAAGGAAGTGTAAACCTTTGTGAAAAAGCCACAAAATCACCAAAACCAAACACTCAAGAGTCCTTGCAGAAAAAGATAGCTAACACCACCCTTAAAATAAAACAGATGTGAAGGAGGTATTGAGAAGGGACATCTTACAGCAGGTGGCAGTCACGGTTGCAGCTGAGTGGGTGGCCACTGACTGCTCTGAATAGGACCCTCTGGTGGTGTGCAAGTGTATAAATAGACATTAAATAGGCCGGGATTTGCTTCAGGCAAATAAGTGAGACCTTCCTGGGAGACTTCATCCTGGCTGTGGAGGTCAGAGGAAAAGGTCTGACTGCTGCCACCAGGGTGGAAAATTAGAGCAGAGCTGGACGTAGCTCCACTCAGTGAGCAGGAGCCGCCTGTGGCACAGAAAACCTGATATAAAGAATAAAAAAAAAGTTAATATTTACTTATTGAATAGGTCTCAGGTTAAAACAAGACTGAATCTATACAGTCTCACTGATGACTAGTTACTGTAATGCAGTTTACAGTTTTGGATGTAGTTTTCCATTCTCCAAGGCGTTTCTGTAGGCTCCTCTGTGAACTGTGCTCGAGGTGTATGCGAGATGATACATGCCGTGCCACTGTGTGCACGACATGGACTGTCCTTCCTCTAAATCTGACGGGCACAGAATCAGACAGTGGCCAGCCTGGACTGGTGACCAGCCGGTCAGTCTGAGAACCAGCCATTTCTGATCTCTACCGATCGATCGATGCATCTCTACTTGAATGTTACTTTTGTGACTGATTCCTAATACTCTGTTTTTTCTTTTTCTTTTCTGCAATATTTAATGTTATCATCTTGCCACAGTTGCCTTGGAAATGAGGAAAACCTCAGTGGGATTCAATCAATGCATTTCATTTAATACTGTCAAGATGTGTCACTGTGGACCCATGTTGATGGACAAACAGACTGACAAAGATCCCATTAAATGAGCTGTTGAATGTCCTGAAACTTTCTGTGAAACAGTACATCTTGAGTAATGACCTCATGCTTCACTAGTGTATACAACTATTCTGATATGCTCAACAGTTTCCCTATCCATTTAAATTATAGAACACTTCTCTCCATATCCGAAAGTCCATTCGTTTACACTTGAAACTGAACCCTCTCTGCCTGTCCCAACGACCTGTTTCAGCAAAAAAAAAGGAAACATAATTACTTGGAAAAAATTATACTATTTCATAGGACCTATACATAAAAATGTAACAACATAGTGGGAAATCACTATACAAACTTCAATTACCTCTGAAGTCTCTGCACTAGTTCAGCCACTAAGGAGTCACAGATGCCTGGATGCGTTTCTTCTGCCAGCACAATGGCCTCCCGCAGCTGCTCTGCAACCTCTGGCTTGCCATTGCTTTTCTCACCCTTTTCTTTCAACTGCAACAGTGACAGCTTTTAAATAACATTATAATGTAAAGATCTGCATTAATATTATAGATCATGAGTAACCCCTGACAAAGATAAGGCAGATTTAGTTCTGGCCAAATTATTACAATAGTTTTATTTTATATTGTCCATGAAGTTGTAAGGATATTTTAAATATGTGCTGACATAAAGTATTACCTCAGAAAATAATGGAGAAAAGATTGATGATAAGCTTTGTGACAAAGGCCTCTTTGAATTCTCCCGCACCTGGAAAAAAGGATGATTTTAAGGTGAAAAAAAGGAAACCTGAGATCATTTTAAAACTGAAGATGTGGCATATGATCTAACCGGTTTTCTTTCAAGCTCAGCAGGCCGTGCTGCCCCATTCTGAACCTTTTTCAGGTCCTTCTCCCTGATAGTGTTGAAAATCCAGTCATCATCGACACTGTCATCTCTTCCAGACGCCTGGCCATCCGACTCCCTGCAGTGACACGAGATTTTAGGAATATATAGTTGCTCAATTTTGCCTTTAGGTGTAAATTTGCTCTGTGAGAACTTCCATTGAACTGTATGATATTGGTGCTGATAACTTACTCCTCAGACTCATCAGAGCTGGATTCATCCCGAGACTGTTGTGATTTCCACTTCTTGTATCGGTCAATCAGCTCTGTCAGATAGGACGTCTTTTTGGCATACCTTACAATATACTTATGTTTTAACAGCTCTTTGGCAGTTGGTCTCTAAGAAAATGCATAAAACACACAGTGAACATTGAAATCGTAGTTTTCTCGGTGCACTTTGTTACTCATAATAAAGAAAAAGCCTTTAAACTTACAAAACTGGGCTCCTTATTTAAACAGGCCTCAACAAATTCTTTAACTGGTTTGCTGTAGTTTCCTTCCAGTGTTGGCGGATTGTTCTTTGGGATGAGGAATAACACCTTCATGGGATGAAGCTCAGAGTGGGGTGGTTCTCCTTTAGCAAGCTCTATTGCTGTTATTCCTAACGACCAGATGTCTGCCTGCAAAACAAAATATCCTCTTATCAAAGCAGCAGACTCACACACTTACCCAGAAATAAACATTCTGGCACAATGCTGTGTGAAATGACATTGCATGGGTATATTTGAGGAAGCTTTGCAATCTGCTGAGTGTAACAGTGGTTGTGTTGAGAAGCCACACTAACTCAAAAATATGTCCTTGGTATTTCAACTCTAAAACAGCAATCTAAAAATGGGCTTAAAACATCTAACACAAACAAGCCACAACAGTCAATAAATCTATGAAAACAAATACAAAAACGTACCATACAACTCATTTAGAAGCTATTTTTTTATATACATTTTCCCCTCTCTATTGTGTAAAGGTGTATTATACTGGCAGGTGTTTCTATTATTTTGTCCTCCCTATTTACAGTACATCAGTGAGATGTCAAACCACATAATTATAACCAATCTGCACAGAATTACACTTTATAATAACCAATTCAAGTGAAGATTCAGTTTCACATATTCTCTCCTGCTCGCTCTTCTAAGCCATATCTGCAGACTTTGCTTTTCTTACACTATGAGAAGTCAGTAAAACTATTTTAATACATCAGCAAAGTTCCTATTTCTAGTAGATCCACAAGGGCACCAAAGCAGATCTCTGTGCTCTGTCACTGGACTCTTTGTGCTGTTCCTTTTTATACTGGTGTCGCTCGAGTCACACTGAACCGCAAGTCAACTATAGGAAAAAAAACTCCAATTACACCACATGCTCAGTCCAACCAAGCTTAACAGCAGCTATCGGCCTCACTGACAGTTTCCAGCTGTGTCTTGCAATGGTATATGAGTAAAGTTTGCTAACTTTTCTGGCACAGAAATCACTGACAGATTTGTAACAATCTTTGTCACAAAGCTTATAAAAAAAATTGATTTTCCCAACATAAAATTCAACTGCCATAACAAAACAATATGGGATAATTCTGACCTTTGAATCATAGGCAGATTGTTTTATGACTTCAGGTGCCATCCAGAAAGGTGTGCCAACAAACGTGTTCCTCTTTATCTGCGTGTCTGTCAGCTGGCCCGCGACTCCAAAGTCTGCCAGCTTCACATCACCGTGTTCTGACAGCAACACGTTGGCAGCTGAACAACAGAGGGACAAGCATAAAATACATCACATAAAGGCTCACTGGACTCATCATTTTGGTATTTAAAAAGACAATGCTATGTCTCTGCCACTTTAGTAATAAGTTTGAATTTAATTATAGACAATCCACTGAAAAGATAGGTTTACTATGACCTAAATAATCATAGATCCTCAATGTTGTTGGATTTCCCTTTTAATAAACACTGCCTCATCAGCTAGGCAACAATGCCAGGGAACAGAAAACTTCCTTTCACCATAATTAACAAAAAACAGAACATGAGTCAGGATCACACCACCTACACGCTTGTTGTTGAGAACAAGGTGAAGGCATATACCTTTGATATCTCTATGGATTTTCTTTTCAGAGTGCAGATACTCAAGTCCCTTCAGGATTTCTCTGAGGATTGTGGCAATCTGTGTTTCATCCAACGCACCTGGTTCTATCTAGAAGAGTACATAATTTAGATGATACCCATGACTTTCAAACTGATTACAGACTGTATAATGGCCTGCAAATCAAATATTTAAGGTATGCTTGTCTTCAAACTGGTTAATGACTTCGTACTGACACAAACTTACCAAATCAAGGGCTGATCCTCCCCCCAAATATTCCATAATAATCCATAATTTTGTACCCTGAAAAATAAATTTAAAATATGTTCAGTCAAGATAGTTTTCCAGGTCACAGTAATGACAGAACAGAGTAGTAACAGTAACTATTTATACTCACTTTCCCAACTAAAGAAGCTAAATTCAAAGTAATTTTAACTTTAATTTTTTGGAGCTTTAAAGTGTCATCAATCTTCAGTAGGTTTGAAAGAGCTTAAGGTTGCACTAGATAAATTACTGCCGTGGGGGGATGCAAAATTCTCTGCTATCACGAAAAAAGATGATCACATATTATAATAACATCTTAATTGTTTTCTTTTAACCCTTTTATTAAGAATTACCTTGCCCTAAAATACTGTGATAGGATGGCACATGGGTATAGCACACATGCACTAACAGCGGAGTGATTGCTGAAACTGCACTGATCAGATGAGTGGCCAGGCTAATTTACAGTTAATATACAGTTTAATGTTCAGTCTGTTAGAGAAACACACTCTTGTTCCATAATATGATAAAAGGAGTCACTGAACAATTGACCAGATTAATAACTGACATAGTTATCTGTTTATCAACTGGCATGCCCACTATAACTTGAATATTCTATTCATCACATTTCAACGTTTATGACAGGCTGGTTTATGGTTACCTAGCACCTAAGAGTACTCCTTCTCAATCAGATAGATACATTTAACAATCACAGCAGATCAATGCAAAATGTACTAAATACTGCATTTAAAAACAAAATGAACAAAACAAAAGGTACACACAGTCTTATAAAAGTACACACAGACACTTAATAACTAACCAAAAATATATCACAAACCTAGGCTAACAGGTAAATTAGCTAATATTCTTAAAAACATTTTTAAACAAATCACGTTATCATAAGCAGTTTATTGAGTATGTAATCATGCTGTATGAACAAAATATTTGTAAATGGCCACAGCCATGGCACATCTACACATCCACACAAACAGCTCTGGCTGGAATGAATCTTGTACTGGTCTCCAACAGCAGAAACATGGCAGTTTTCTGATCCAGTTGGGCTCAGAAGCCTTAGCTGCACTGGCTTTCTCCACAAAATCAAGAAGTACATATGAAAAAATTAAATACCATGTCTATGACGATAGTTCAGCCAAACAACCAGCGTGGTTCCACACATAGATTGGCGGTGTGTTATCTGAGCTCATGTGTTGCCATTTCCAGGTGCACAAAGTCTAATTTAAGTCAAACTCACTCAGCTTGTTTACAGGTTTACAAAATTAATTAGCAGTTCCTGTTTGCAATGTACAGACAATTATCACTGGATTACATTGACAATGAACAAAATTTAAAAGCCTTGAAGATTCCTGGGCAACCTCTGGAGTTAAACATTTTTCTATGATTTGACAGTCATGACTTCAAAGAGCATAATGTATTTTTTTGCAGCAATTGGGTGCTAAGGGTTTTAAAGCATCTTAACTGCCTCTATGAGCTGTGTGTTATAGCCACTGCTGCAACTGCTTAGTGTGTAAGCTGGATAAAGTAAAATAACCAGCATGCACCTGTCCCCTCCACAGTACGTGCCTCTCGTCTCCCTGCACCTCACAGATTAAAAAAAAAAAAAAAAAAAAGTGTGAAAACAACCAGAGATATTAAAAGGACAGTTACCTTAGTAAAAACAGTAAAAGCAGTACCCCTGATGGCTGACATTATTCTAGTTAATAATAATCACCTTTATTTGGCCACGTATGTTACACACAAGGAATTTGTTTCCAGTACAGAACCGATGGCAGCCATCTGCGGTGCCAACTCAACCAATGGCTCTAACCATCAGGGGCAACTTGGAGTTCATTGTCTTGCCCAAGGACACTTCGACACGTGGACTGCAGGCACCGAGATTCAAACCACCGACCCTCTGGTTGGGTTGAATCACAGTCGCCCCCTAGTTCTCACCTGAAGCATACCTATGTCATCTAAGTATTTATATGTTGTATTTAATGCAGACTGTTGGTTAGCTCCAAACTGACAGAAATGCATTTTCTGTTGTTTCTACCAGTAGCAGTTAGTTTGGAATAAATCAAACAGCCACTAACATGATCAGTGATTGGCATCACTGCCACTAGACAAGAAAAACCTAAAATGGTGCATAAATACGCATAGCACAAATGCTATGCTTACAAGCTACAAACAAATAAGCCCTAATTCTCTCTTTCAGGACGCAGCATAACTTGAGCTAATGGACCACCACTTCTCTCCTCACTGCTGCTAAGTGCCACATAAATGCTGTGAGATGCAGTCTAGACTCTATGGCGCATATTGTGTGAAAATCTAATACAGTTACAAAATGTTTTGCAACTGAGTGATGCTGTCAATTCAGCTATTACAAATTACCAAAACACCTGAGATGTATGCTGGCCTGGGCTATGAGCAGGCAGCTGTTTCAGCTCTGAATTCTAGTACATTGAATCTGAAATGAAACAGTAGCTGAGATGTTTCTATTAACTTTAAACCTCAAATACACTACATGCATGTACACCTTGATGTTGAAGCTGAGAGTTGGCACATGAAGTCATTTTTTTTAATTTCAATTCCAATCTGCTGAAGTACAGAGCTAAAGTGGCTAAACCTATGCCAGTGTCTCTATACACAGACAGCACTGTTAAAAGCCAAAGACATATATACTACTGCAAAGTTAGCCCATTTCTGGTGGTTCTACAGAGCAATCGGTGCAGTATTATACAGGCAACACTTGTTCCAGTGCCTAAATGCATTATTTATTGACCTACATTTCTCACACACACACATTTGCTTGAACACACTACCAACATATGCATTATGTAGTAAATGGACCAAACAAGATCACTAAATGATTCCTGAGGTTAAAGCTTACCTTGAGATATGATCCAAAATACTTGGTGATAAAGGGACTGTCACACTGGCTGAGAACAGTGATTTCCTGTTGAATGTCTTCTATTTCATCTTCTGCTTCCTCCAGATCAATAATTTTAATGGCCACAACTTTCTGAGTTCGATTGTCAATGCCTTTAAAAACTTCACCAAAAGAGCCTTTTCCTATCCTCTCCAGCTTGGTAAAAAGCTCCTCTGGATCAGCTTTGAAATTCTGTGTGACAGACAGATGGATGGGGAGAAGCAGAGTACATTTAAGTAATGTTGAACTCGGGGAAACTGACAAGCTAAATTCAGCTGCATAAAAACACAAGTAAAACTACATGTCTAATGTAAAGGCACAGATGGTTCATTTACAGGTATTCACACAGTTGTTATAAATGTCCACACCTGCAGATACAAGTATAAAGTGCTAATCAAAGAATAATTAAAATTACATGTATGTTGTCAAACAGAAGGAGGACTTTTAAATATTGACCACAAAAAAAAAAAAAAAAACAACAAACTGGTGTAGTCTGGGGTCTAAAGCACAGTACTGACTCTGCTTACACATATAAACACCTGAATGAAGACCCAAGGAAACCTATCAAATGAGAGACAGACTGTGGGTGTGTAGCAGAACGGGACAAAGATAAGGATCAAACTAGAGCAGCAATGGTTATTCAATTAGTCAGCAAATATTCTGACAAATGATTCATCATTTCAGTCATTTTCCAGCAGATGTGCCCCAAATTATGTGGCTTCAGCTTATTACATGCAGTGACATGATGCTTTTCTTTGTCACATATGAGAATAAACTCAATATTTTTACATTCAGATTGTTGGACGAAACAACCAAGCCGAAGACTTCACTATGGGCTCTAAGCAACTGTAAATGATATATTTTTTTAACATTCATAGATTAGCTATGTGATTTATCAATGAATCAAAAGATATGCAGACTAATTGATAATGAAACTATTGGTTAGTTGAAGCCCTAAATGAACCTGTGTGTGCTGGAGAGGCGATCCGTCTGGCAGTCTTAATAATATCTTGCAAATTGTGATCAATTTAAATAGAGCTCCTTTTTAAACAGACAATAGCCAGCTCCACTGCTTTCCTTTAATGGTTCCCCTAAGTGTTTCATAGTGTCTGCAGAAAGAGAGTGTCTGCTGTGGCAGGAAAGTTTAGACAAGATTATGACAAGCTCTTTTCAATCCATCATGAACAAATGCAAATATCAATGCAGATATTATCTCTAAAACTGCAGCTACTGGCTGCTCATTTTGTTTGTGCCACTTCATGGTGCACTCACACTCAGTGCAGCATGTTAATAAAAATTTGTAGTGGTTTACTTGAGCATCTGTCAACTGGACAACAGCTCGTAAAGCCAGTGTTCAGAATGAGTTAAATTAAAACAAGAAAAACTGACTGGATTTAGTTAAGCCAATACCGATCAATTATAACATGCTCTGTTTAGCTGAGATAATGATCTTGAAGAGTGGCTTGGGGTATCCCTACTGTGCTCTAAACACCTCAGCTGCTAAGCCTAGATGTTATTTGCTATTGCTCAAGACCAATCAGGAATAGTATACCACAAAATAATTTACATTGCTCAAAAGCCAAACACAACCAATTTTATCCATTTGTTAAAAACTCAACTCAGGAAATCCGATTATAATAATCAATTTATTTGGCTACGTATGTTATACATACAAGGAATTTGTCTCTGGTACAGAACTGAGGCAGCCATCTGAAGCGCCAACTCGCACCCACACACACACACACACCAATGGTGGCGCTGTCCCTGCAGGGCACTGCTCTGGTCATTGGGGGCAACTTGGGGTTCAGTGTCTTGCTGAAGGACACTTCTGATATGCAGACTACAGGTAGCGCGATTCCAATCTCCAACCTTCTGGCTGGGAGATAACCGCTCTACCCCTGAGCTACTGCCGCCCCAACACAAACAAACAAAATCACAACAGCCACAGACCACACAGGTCAGTTCAAGACTTCAACTATCCCTAAAGATTTTCATTTCATTCTTTGTTGACAAATGAACCACCCCTGTTGCACTTCAGCTTAGCCTTGACCACCTTCTATGATCAAATTTTGTGAATCTGAGTGACACTTTAATCATGAGCCAGTACAACACAGATGCAACTCAGGATTAATGACCTCCACCACAAAGGCTAAATAGAAACCAAAGGACTACACCCTGACTCATTGACTGTACTAAATGGCTTATTTCCCCACAGAGCACAAGAAGAGACTAATGGTCTTCAAGTTGGCCACTTCAGTTACCCTCCATACACGGCAATCATTAGCCTAAACTGACAAAGTAGTTTTCAGTGCCCTAATTTTCATGACTCAATTAATACAAAACAGGTTTATATTGAACAAGTAGCATTTTATTGAGCAATATATAATTTAAATCAACCTTAAAAATAAAACTTACATATAAATTATATTTTTGCAGTAGCTTTAATAAGAACAAACTGAAGCATTTAAGTACGGTGCTTACTTTACCAGGTAACCCAGCACTAACAGGATGATCTGCCGGCTCACACAGCATATTGCTTTAGAGCCCCTCCAGAGAATAGTTTCCTGTAAAATGCTAATGCATGGTGGTCAAAACCTATATGGAAGGGGAGATGAGCAGCTGCACTCTGAAAAACTGGTGAAGAAGGGGCTGCTGAATTTGATAGCAGAGGACGTTTATAACAAAGACAAAGAGGGAGAGTGGTGCAAAATAAAGCAGAGTAGAAACTACACAACCAAAATACTATCATAACACTGGTATGGTCAAGTCATCCAGGACCAGAGACTACACATGATGGGAAGCTGCCTGAACCTCGTTCTAAAAGCAGTTTGATCCACTCCCGTCTGCACCACACAACTGTGTAGGCTAGTGTCATCCACACGCCACACCCTCAGTGTTGAAGGCTCACTATCAGCCCAACTAGCATCCCTCTGTAGTGTAACCTGTGGGCTCAGATCTGCAGTTTTCCCTCTAAACCTGCAGTTTGTCTGTGAGTAAGCCGCAATACTGATAAACTTAAATTTGAACTAATATCAATAATCAGTGATGCCAAGAATACATCTTGAACCAATCGTTCAACAGTCAGAATATTAATCACCAACTATTTTATTTTAACAATTACTTAATAATGAAAATATTAATTAGTTGCATCCCAAATTACAATACCTAGGCTTTCAAAGTTCGCTGACTTTAAATGCACCAAAAACAAATAAATAAATGATTGATTGGCATCACAGTTCCTAGATTAACTGATGATGAACATAAGTTATTGGCTGCAGCCCTAGTTAAAACCAACAGATGTGAAGTCTACAACATTACCAATGACCAACAGGACTCTTGCCACGTCCATTTATCAGCAACAGACAAAGTAAATACACAAAGTAACGTTACTGCATCAGTTCTGGTCATAGAAATTATAAAAGCTGAAACAACTGACCACAGAAAAATCTGGCAACTATTTTGATAATGATCATTTTTCAAGCCAAACATTAATGGCGAACGGTTTGCATATTAGGAGCAAGCCCAGTCTGAGTAAAGATGCTGTGATACAGCGTCAGTCGTGGTTTGATAGGACAAACAAGATGACAGCCGTCTTACCGATAACTCACATCACACACAGTCACTCTGGGCTGAGTGCATTTATTATCAGAAAGCACAGTGTACGTTAAACGTGATACTGATGCAGTGGTCTTCTAACGTCCGATAAAGTTATTCACAGCAAGCTAGCTAAACTTTCAAGCTGAAGGTAAAAGGAAGCGTGAAGTAAAATGTTATGTGGTTCTGAACCTAATGAACGTCCCTCTGAAAGTTAGCTGGTAACATAACTGCAATTTATTTACCTGAATCCCTGGAAGTCCACTCTGAATAGGAGAGTGAGCCATGGCGTCAGGTCAGCAAAGATGACGCCTTCCCTCTTCTTTTTAGCTTTCCTTGTATAGAGGTGCAACGTTAGTTCCCACACAGAGCAGTGGTCTGTATAATTGTACTGCAAGCTGGTCAATATATCAAACGTTGATGTAGCTCGGATTTTTAATCAGTCTGACTTGTCGGCTTGTACTTCGAACTGCCTTGCCTGTCCCTTCTCCTCACTAGTCTTCCGCAGTTAGCCTTAGTTAACGCTAGCTAGGCTAGATACTTAGCAGCTAGTTAGCAGAGTTAGCTGAATAACTATATCTCTCGATGCGTTATCCCAGCAGGTGGTTGGCAATTTCCTGATAATAGGGTAGAAGTCCGCTTTGAAACTGTCGTACAAGGCAAATAAATGCACACTGTTATAAGTTGTGTCGCTTGTTGTTCTATTCTTATCACTTTTCTCTGTCGCCCGGCGCCATCTTGCCTAATGTCATTTTCATTTTCTAGAGGGCCAATCACAGAAGAAAGGTCGCATGTCGTCATTCATAAACCAAAAACGTCACACGAGGGAGGACGTTTACACAAGTGCAATACATGTGGTTTGATGTATACTATCAAGACTGAATGAACCGGAAAGTAACTAGTAGGCTACATTAACTGAAGTACTGTACCAATAAGTACACTGTTGAAGTACTTCTATTTTGTGTTATTGAATATCTAAGCTTACTTTATAGGGTAGGCTACATGTCTAAATAAACGATGGTTGACTTCAATTTAGCTGCTTTAGTTTCAGGGTCTTGTGCATGTTGGCTCATTGTGTAGTAGCTATCATTACTGTTATTAATAACACCTGTACCTTTCCTAAATTACAAAATATTAATAAAATTGGTCTGTTAAACTACGGTGCAGCATTAATGGCACCTAATCCGAATAATCAGGGCCCGAATACGTTAGATAGATAGATAGATAGATAGATAGATAGATAGATAGATAGATAGATAGATAGATAATGTAAATTGAGCAAAGTCATTCCAATGATGGAAACATGCATTTGAAACATCCAGAAGAATTTGTTAAGTGGACCTCAAGTCAAACCACAATTTTCAAAGTCAAGAATAGACTTTCATGCTCAAATAAAAAGAACATTCTATTTAGCCAGATGAGTAATTCCTTAAGCCCCTTAACAGCTTTGAGAAAAGCAGTGCATTGCAGATCACCATAAGGAAGACTGTAGTGGAGAGAGTGAGGACCAACAACACCACATCACTGGCCAAGAAGGCTCAATCACACCTCTACTTCCTCCACAAACTGAGGAGAGCCAGTGTCCCACCCCCGATAATGCGCTCTTTCTAACGGGGCACCATTGAGAGCGTCATCACTGGCTGCATCACTGTGTGGTATGGCAGTTGTACTGCCTCCTACAGAAGGACCCTGCAACCCATAGTGACATAGAGCCATCAGCATTTCTGATGACACCTCCCACCCCTCACACTCCCACTTCAGACTCCTGCCTTCAGGGAGAAGGTATCGGAGTCTTCAGGCCCACTCCACCAGACTTACAAACAGCTTCATCCTCCAGGCTGTGAGGATGCTGAACGCTGTCCATTACCTCTCCCCCTCTGCCCCTGGACTGTGACCCACCACAGAACGTAAAAAGACTATATCTGATGTTTTGCACAAACCCAGTACATCCCCCCTTCTTGTTATATTACATGTAAATCTGCTGCTGACTGTTTTTACCATCATATCTGCTGCTGTTGGCCATTTGTACTACTGTATGTGTGCATCTCAATCTCACAACCATCTGACAATCTTCTTGCTATTATTTACACTAGTCTCACTGTACATGGTTTGAGTCATAGCCTATTAGGTTGTACCGTTTAGCTTTATCCTAATCACTTTGACTTAGTTTTCTTATTCATTTTAGTCTATTTTTACTCTGCTTTTATTCTATTTTAGTTTCCTAAATGTTATGGCATTCAATACTAGGTAAGAGAAACTGTATTTTGATTTTCTGTATGTCCTGCACATATAGTGAATTGACAATAAAAATCGTTGACCTTGATCTTAACTACCATGTTTTGTTTTTTTTAATCAATAGGATTTTCGGTGTAGCAAAGCACATTTGTTGCCAAAAACAAAATGTTTCAGTCTTATGTGAACTGGATGGTTTTATCTGAAGATCTGATATCAGGTTGGGAGAGTATTATGAACAACAGTTACATGGTCAATGTTTTTATTTTGAAGAAAGATGTCAAGACAAACGCTGCAAATGATAAAAATGCTAAACAAATTTATTTTTGTTTTCTTGAACACAATTTATACAAATATAAAAGAGCAAATGCATCCAATAATATTTAAATGTTAATAGTATCATTGAGATGTTGTTAATAATATTATAGTTATCACAAACTTGGTATATTAAATATAATGTTAGAGAACATGGTGTGCCTTCCTCACAATAGTCATTTTGCCATTAAAATATCAAATATTTAAAACACATGCTGTATGTGCACACACACAAATAGACAACATTAAAAGGATTATAAGTATATTTCCCCACAAATCTTGATGTTAAACTTTGAATATAAGCTTAGTATGGATACCTGGTCTACTTTTTTGTTCACATTTTGGTCTGTGCAGCTTTATCATCCGCATTATCTCCATCAACCCTATTTCTGAACTGAGCCTCAATTTCTGTAGGGTCGATGTAGGTGTAGAAAGAGGCCATGATGGAGAAGATGATACACACTGCAACCAAAAGAGAGGCGAAGAGGACATACTCTGCCCACTTTGAAAAAGAAGGTGGAGAGAGACAGAGGGACAAATATAGTGTTAATGCATCATCCTGTGTTACCGTAAAGACAGACATATCTGATATATTTGGTCATTTTAAGTCTTTTAGAATTTGTTTTGAGAGTACTTAGTGGGAGTCCTTTTTTTACCTGTTCGGGAAGTTTTGCAATCTCAGCCACAATCAGAACAATGAAGTTGCCAACAGCAACAGTAAATAACCAGCCAGCTTGCAGCACTGACTTCATGTTGCTAGGTGCCTTGAAGACACAGTAGGATGATGTAAAAATTAACTATGTCATAAACAAAGTGCATAATACAGACCTACCATCAGGAATAATGAAAATGGAATATTTTAATTTACCCTATCCTGTACTTCCTTGTGTAATGATATAGTACTGCAATGAAGCACAAGACCATTCTAACAACTGTACCTGTGAGTAGGAGAACTCAAGACCAGTGACAGAAAACATCACTTCACCAGCAGTTATGAAGAAGTACTGTGGAATCTGGAGGGCCATGTAAACAGAGTTGGGCTTGATATCTTCTACTGCAGTAATATCCTTCTGACACTAAAATAAAAAAACAGAAATAATTATAAACGTTGCCAGAGCATATAACTGACAGTATTTTAATTCTTTGCCTGTTTTCTCTGTGTATAGGTTTGTGTTATTCTATATTTTCCTTCATGTCAACAAATCCCTTAAAAAGAATAAAGCCAACACTGCATAACATTTGTAAATAGATCTAGTTTAATACTTTTAACAGTATGAACAGAAATAATCTATTAAATACTATTTATCATTAGCACAATGACATTTACCAGTTGGATATCTTTTATTAGATGACATCAAATTTTGCACAGCTGGTCTGATAAAATCATATGTGAAACTTACATTTGGTCCAAAGACCAAAGTGCTGGGTATAATGAAAGTATATGAACTTCCAAATCCAAAGTCTGTGCTGTATTCACATGACTGTAAACTGTTCCTTAAGGTAAATGTGATCCTGATCATCAAAAGAAGAAAATTAGTTTAATGAAATGTTTGCATAAAATATTTAACAGTCAATTAGTCAAAAAAGAATCCTTACGGTCCATTTTTTATTTGGAAATAGTTGGAATAATTTGATGGCGCAATTAGTCCAAACTTGGTTGCGTTACTTGATATGTTCACTTCTGTTGTCATTCCATTTACAAATCTGAAATAGTTACATATTGAACAAAACATTATAGCCAGAAAGTTTAAAAACAGCAAGTAAAACCAACATATGCAATTCCTTAATTTCCAACATTTCCCTCTGCAGATAAGGAGGGAAGCAACTCATAAATCATTTTTCTGCATTTATAACTGATCTGAGAATAAAACAATTAATTGATTATCTAAATAGTCAGTAATTCATTTTCTATCGGTCAGCTGATCAATTCATTGTATGTATTACAGTTTAAATATTTGTAATTCTACTTACCGGATTGCATTGCTGCCCTCTTCTGGCTTGGACTTCAAGTCACCAGTCTGAGGAAATAAGACAAAGAATTTTTATTAAATTTTTATTAAGAACTTCTTGTGAATCTTTATTGTTATTATTTTGTGTGTCACCCTCACCAACAGCCACTCATCAGTGATGAGTGATGGAATGAGAAGAGTTTGTCGATGTCCTTTGGCCAAGGAAATAGTTCTCGTAATTTTGGGGATTTCTATTGAAACATTGATATTTTCTGCTTCAAATGTGAAGTATTTATCACTGGCCTGCAAAAAAAAAAGACATTCTTGAAATGTTGCAAATATTGGGGTAGGAATATGTGTGCATGAACAGTGGTGTTTTGGATTGCATGCAAGTTATTGTCACAGAAGCTTAAACTTGTAAGCCCCACCTTTGTACAAAGGGTAGTGTTATGGTGATTGATAAGAGGCTTACCTGAGCTGCAGGAAGATTCAGTGAATTACTGCCAGGTAACTGAACTTTGACTGCATTACTGCCCATGTTCAGCAATTTCAACTGACTCTGGGAGGCCGATGGGAAATTGGGCAGTGTTTTCTGAAAATTAGTTAGCTTTAAAATTAATTGTAAGTTTAATCCCTGAGCCACAGTGGCCCCCAGGGACAAAGCACATACAAAAGTCAAAGCAGAAATATTATGATACAGTATATGTTCTACAAAGCAAATAGTGCAACCATAATGAGCTGATGTGTGTGTTTGAGTATGTAAGCTGATGAGCACAATAACCATTTTCTACTTACATCAATTTCAATCTGAACCAAAGCAGCGCAGACAAATGCTGTAGCTGCCAGAAGCATCCCCACTGTCATTCTTTTCAGAGGTCTGTTGAATCAGCATTAAATTCTGTTAGTGATTTTTACATCATTTGAGAGAATAACAGCACCAAATGTCTTAATATAGGAGTTTTTAATAATCTTAAATATAGGAATAAGTTTGTCATTGTAATATCAATGTTTTTCACTCATACATAGCATTACTCTCCATTGTTGAGCAGTTAAGGGAATAATTTGACATTCTGGGAAATATATTTAATTATTTTCTTTGTACAAATTAGATAAGAAGATCACTCCCAAGACTGAACAATAAGTAAGAGGAAACAGCGAGCAGCCAGTTACAGTGTAACTTAGCACAGAGACTGAAAACAGGGAAATAATAAGTGTAGCTGTGTCCAAAAGTAACAAAATCCAGTACCTCTGGAGTTCTCTAATTAACACATTCTAATTTTTTTGGTTTACTTCATGCAAAAACAAAATTTTATGGGGCAAAAGTCAAGTAAGTACATTTTTACAAAATGTCAAACTAAAGGTTAATATTATTTAATCACCCTGTAAGGGACTGACAAACAATATAAGCCTTGTTTCCACTTCACTGGGTTGCAGCAACACTTACGTAAAGTTCAGGCCACATTTTTTGATCAGAGGATATATTATGTTGTCCATGATAGGCACCAGAGTCAGGATCAGGATGGGGTTGATTGTCTTTCAAAAATAAATTGCACAGTGAGAATTTTCTCAAATAAATATGCAAATCCAAGCCAACATGATAAAAATTCGGTTAACTAACCTGCATCTGATCAGGCTGCATAAAAAATAATCCCTGCAGACACAACAAAAATATTAGAACTTAAACACATTGCCATGTTTAATTAAAATATATCTATAGTTGGTTTTATCATCAAAACTTACAAAGTATCCATTCATGGTTGTGGCCTGCAAAGTCCATCTGGAACCCTTTAAGATAAAAGTAGAGTTTAGCACAGTTTATTTTACTGACAAATGATGTTGCCCTTTAAAAGGCTGAGCCACTCTACGATACCTTTTGGTCAAAAAGGGTCCAGAACATGGGAAGTGGGATGTATAAAAAGAGGACCTTCAGCACCATTTTGATTTGAGCAATGAGAAGTTTCTACATAGAAAACAGAATATGAACAGCTGTTATTTTATTGAAGAAACATCATGTTAGAAACTTCAGAGCATTAAATAAATAAAATGAAACATACATCATATTTTTCTTCAGCCCAGTCCATCCAGTGCTGCCTCTTTGGATACTGTTTGCTTCTGTGCTTGTAACGATTTTTAATGGCAAACTGGGAGAAGAGCAAAGTGAATGAGAATTAGCATTTTGAAACACCTAGAGCCACTGTTTGTATACAATAATGCGAAATATGTTAATGCAAATAGCATAAACCTGACTCACCCCAATACATTTAAACACATCCAGCATTATGTTTCCCTGTGGTTCAGCTTTGTAGTACATTCCATTCCCAAGGATAAACACCGCTGTTAGGGACAAAACATCTGTATCAATACAGAGTATGTGTACCAAACCTTTGCATTTCCACTTTATGTAAATATATATTTATGCAGTCTCAGAATAAGCTTAGACATACCAAGTGCAACCACCATTAGTGCTGCAGGGACACCAAAGGCCAGAGAATAACACTTCTGCTGACTGTGGATGCCACATTCCTGAGCTGCAGATGGAAACAAACGCCACTCAACTACAGTTTCACTCATACTCTGATTAGTGATTATCAAATGCATTTGTGTTTATGGCACTAACTGTTGTAAATTTTATGTCCTATTCATAGCTTACATCGGAGGACTGGAGTGATAATGGTTGACAGGAGACTCCCACCATTGATGCACAGGTAGAATATAGAGAAGAAAGTTCTCCTTTGCCTTTCCTGCACAGAGAAATACATCAGTGAGCTGCACATGCACATGTTATTTAATGCAGGATATGATGGGCAACCAACTCTGAGGTGATTATTTTCTGTGTATGTGATATTAAATAGAACAACCAAAGATTTTTCAGCCACACCAGCAACATGGCTCTAGAAATGGTGGTGTGATGTTTGGGCTACCACTGTGGCCCAGTATGTCAGCAACTATTTGTTGAATTTTGTAATTTTAAGTGAAATGTCTAAACAACAACTGGATGGAGATTTTGCTTTATTGATGGAGTTTTCAAACATCTTTGTCTTCTTTTACAAGAAAAAAGACTGGCGTGTGGTAACTAAATTGTTGGTTTTGCAAATATGACTGTTTTGTTTACCCATCTCCATTAATGTATCATGCACAGCTGTTTTCCAACTATTTCTGGGAAGGTGAATCTGAGACTTTCTACTACGCAGTGAGGAGACATTCCTGAAAGGGGCTAAGCTGTGCCCAACTCCCAATACAAAGTCATTATCATGGTTGTAGACTATTTTGGGGCACCATTGCCTATATTTTCAAGGTGGATAGTAGAAAAGAGATAAGAATTAAGCAGAGAGAGAAGGGGATGACATGCAGTAAAGTACTTCAGTGCTAAATGTTAAAGAAGATAGCCTAAGACAGAAGCAGAAGAGCAGTAATAGTTTAACCTGGTGTTCATTAAACTGGTCTCCACCAAAGGCAGCCACACAAGGTTTGATACCACCGGTGCCCAGAGCGATCAGAAACAGGCCCACCATGGACAAGGTGCTGAATGTGAAGAAGGAGATGGGCATGACCAAGGAGTAGGCTACTAATAAAATATGTGATGAAAACAGCATGTCAAAATGCTGTCTTCTGGATTTCTATAGTAGAATTGAAACTCACACATGAAAAATCATGTTGTTTGGAGTCCCATCTCTGTCCGAGTCAGTGATGTCATGGACTGCACTGATAGACATCGCAACCTGGCCGATTGCATAGACAATAGACAAGTAGATGATAGTCCTGGAGGGAAATAGATAGCATTGGTAGAAGAAGTACATAGATCCCTTAGTTAAGTAAGTACCACTACTGCACCATAAGAATAAAGTAAACATCTACATTAAAATCCTACTCAAGCAGAAGTAATATCAGTCAAAAAAAGCCCCTTTGTGTGTTATAACTGTATATGACATTGTTATATTGTCAATATACTTCAGTCGTAGCTGATTATTCCTATAGCTGGTCAACATGGAATGAGTTTTTATTACTTTATGTACAGTTCAGTACTTTAAGTGCATGAGATGATGGGAGACACACAAGGGAAAAAAGTTCTGCTTCACAAATTTGTTGACATATTTTGGATTTTTCTTCAATTTTTGCATTTATTTTGGAATACTGAATAATTGTACCTCTTTGGTGGCCAAAATCAAACTAACTGAGAAAATTGGTCTTGAGTGGAATGTACTGATCTTTTTTTTTTTTTTTTTCCATTTTTAGAAGCTTCTCGCAATATATTTAGAAATATGCTAATCTGAAAAGTTATGGCTGAAGTAGAGAAAAAGTTTATAAAGTAGAACTGTACTCAATTACAACATGTGTACTGTGGTAACTTCCCAACACTGAGAAGTCATAATCTTTTATATTTGCATATTACACTTTGATGACTAAATATTTCAAGCCACCATGCACAAAATAAATAGAACTTGAGACAGTCACTCACTTAAACTTTCCCAGCCATGAGTCAGCCACAATGGCCCCGAGGATAGGGGTGAGATAACAGAGAGCCACAAAGGTGTGATAGATGGAGGTGGCCAAGTCATCATCCCAGCGCAAGAAGTACTTGAAGTACAGCACCAGCACAGCTGTGAACAAACAGAAAACAATGCGGATCCTTATTTTACAGAATATAATGAAGGCAGTTTGGCCATGTTGTGTATAAAATATCCAAAGTTCTAGGAATTAAACAACATCTAGCTAAAACTAAAAGTAGGAAATGTCCTACCTTCTCTGTTGAACTGTACTGCATAACACTGAGAAGTGTTTCCATTATTTAACATACCCTCATTGATCAGTTGCAATGTTAAAACCACTGGCAGGTAAAGTGAATAATACTGATCATCTCATTACAATCCATAGCTGTCGAGGTGTGAGACATAAGTGAACAGTGAGTTCTTGAAATTGATGTGTTTGAAACAGTAAAAATGGGCAGGCGTAAGTGACTATGGCAAGATCTAAATTGTGATGACTACATAACTGGATCAGAGCTTCTCCAGAATGCTAGCTCTTGTGGGGTGTTCCCAGCTTTCCCTAATGAGTGGCCTCTTTCATCAGGATATTGCTCCCTGCCAACATGACAAAGAGTTCAAGGTATTGCCTTGGCCTCCAAACTTCCAGATCTCAATCTGATCTGGCATCTGTGGGATGTGCTGTAAAAACAAGTCCAATCCATGGAGGCCCCACTTTGCATCTTACAGAGTTTAAATGATCTGCTGCTAGTGTCTTGGTGACAGATACCAGAGGTTGCATTCAGAGGTCCATGGAGCTCGTGCCTTGACAGTTCAGAGCTGTTGTGGCAGCACGAGGGGACCTACGCAATATTGGGCAGGTGATTTTGATGTTGTGGCTGATCAGTGTAAATGGAGTGGACAAATAACAAAAACACCTGTCAGTATAACACAATACAATTCAACATATTCACATACAGTTTAAACAAAAACTGAACATTAGCTATTTATTGCAGGGCTGCTGTGTTAGATGGAATAACTTCAGGGTTGATCAAGGAGCAAGGAATGAGCATGGAGTGGTAAACAGTCTTCAAACCTATTTTATGACCTGCTAATGCTATGGTTACATTTTGGTCATGTAAAGTACTTGTTTAGATTTAGGAAAATATCATGGTTCGGCTTAAAATAAGTAGCCTACTTTGTTAAGGTTAGAGAAACCATGATTACTATGTGAAGAACAGTTAGTGTAGCTTCACTATTATGTTTATAAAACCTATGACATGGTTAAGATTAGAGAACAAAATATCCTCACCTCGCATTCCATAGTAGGAGAACCTCTCACAGAACTCATTCACTACAATGAAGAAGATACTGATCGGGTAGCCACACACCACTTTGCTCTGATGGATAAGAGAAATAGCATAGCTTTCAGCAATGGCTGATAGCTAGATGGTTACTTTATATTTTATCACAAGGCATTTCATCACACCACAGGGTCACAACAGACAAGAGACAAACAATAAATGTAATTATATTCATACACCCATACTTACATTACTTATTTAGTGATTTGATGGCTTGTTGAACAGATGAGAACAGATGAATCTGGGTAGACAGATATCATCTCCCAGCTGGCAACAGTGTGAATCAAGAGGCAAGAGGATGTCTCTTGTCCCCCACAGTGTTTTCAGTTGTCAGTCTGTCCCTATAGATGCATCCCATATTTGGTAATGTGACGCCTAAGAGCTTACTAGCTGTTGTTACTTTTTTTCTAACAGTCTTTTTCTGTGCTTCAGCAGCATTAGGAAACCAACAAAACAATAAAGCAAATGTGGAGGAAGTATATTAAAGTTTACTAAAATAAAAGCACACAAGTACTGGCAGCTACAGTAAATATACCGTATGCAGTGATGGAAGTAGAAGTATTTCACCTAAAGTAAAGTCCTGCAATTAAAAACTAAACCTACTTTGTTGCTTTCCATCACTGACTTTTTGCATGAGGAGAAAAATTGCTCATAGTGCCCAACAGTCCCTGTGGTGTTACCTACAGTATGTGGTCATATTATTGATGCATTAACATGGAAGCAAGATTTAATATTGTGGATACTCAAGGTGGAACAAATTTGAACTTCTTTTTTAATACTTTTGAGTAGTTTAATGTATAACAAGCATATTTTATAAAAATAACTTTTTTATATCAAATTTTAAATACAATGAGAAGCAACTTCAACTGTCAGGTGTAGCTGAATGAAACATTAATTTCACTGTGATATCTAATCGAGTTGAGGTATAAAGTAGCATAATATGGAAATGCTCAAGCAAAATCTGAATACTTAATACTATGAATATCTATCGAGATGGATTGCTTTTGTTGTGGTATATAAATTTGTCTCACTGAATAATTAAAACACAAACTGCATGAACATCAAATAATTTTTTGAATTAAGTATTTACCGTTCCTCTGTTCTCCCTCCGTTTATTGGGATCCTCCTTATCTGCATACAAGATAATATAAATAGGCAAACATTTTTTCATAATAGATTTCCTATGTTGCTGTATTTCTCCATTTTTGAAGTCAGCTTTTCAGTTTTCAGTGAAGAAACAATAGTCACATTTAGGAGTGTGTAACTTGTGGTTCTAACTCTCAGGTATCTGCACCTTCTGGAGTAGAATATACCTGAAAACACACAAATACTCACCTGTCATGATGCCTTGCTGCTGCCAGCCACCTTCTGCAGCGGTTGGATATTCCTTTGAAATGCCTCCGTGGAGCAGCTGATAAATTATTCTTAACTGTTAACTCATTAAAGTGGGAGTGTTTCATGTAATAATTTTTATCATTGACTCTTTCACATTGCTGTTGCTTCTTTTATGATGGGTGGGACCAGTTTCAGTCCATGACACCTCATAAAATGTATTAATTTCAAAGTACTTTTCAAATGCAAACATAAAAACAAAGGTATTTATTAAATGAGTAAATAAGGACTCTGCTGCAATGGAAGAGAAATGAGTGCATTTTATTTGAAAGAAAAGCATTAAAGAACATTTGTTTACAGCAGAACAGTGACTTTGTGTTAAATAAAAATAAACTGTCCAAATATAAAAACAATTTCTTGAACATTTCAATAAACACTAAAATGGTAAAAGCTTCAGATTACTTCCACAGTAGGTGTAGTGTCTGGTTCCACACCTCACCACTTTGGCAAGAAGTTGAACATTATCTTTACAGTGTAAGCCCCACACAACGAGATACTTTGCAAATATTGCACAATCTCCTTTTTATATACATTAATTAACAACATGGAATATAATTTTTGTATGCAATGGTTTTAAATATTTAAAATTGCTCCCACTCTAAGACATTGAAGTGATTTAAAGCTGAATGCCAACACAGGGGGCCCTTTTACAAATGTGCATTTTTGTAGAAATATAACTTCATGTACAGGGAGAGGAGCATTGATGGATGCAGCATGTAACGTTCACCTAGAAATCAATACAGTGGCCTATAAAAGTGGAATACTGTACACAAAAAAACATTATTAAAGAAACAAAAATAAAGGGCCTTTGGGAGGGTATGAGTACTGTATAATGTACAGTGACAACATGCATATTTAAGATCCCAACAGGAATGTCTCCAGGAAAAATACTGCCCAGTCTTTTCAGGTAGAAACCAATGAAGGAGAAGACAGATTATGTCTATCCATGAAGGAGGGTCTCTGTCCTGCCTGGTCCTCTGAGGGGACAGTACTGTCACAGGAAAATTAGATTGGCCACACCCAACACAGTCACCATGCCTTCTGTATACATTAAATAGGTCCAGTGCCTTGGCCATGGTCCACTGCGAGGGATCACAGGTGGTCAGTGTTAGTGCTTTTGTCAGACAAAAGCTGAGATGACAGCACGTTTTGGTTGACAGGTATAGGAGGTGCTGAGGTCAAGGTTAACCCAGGTTAGCATCATATTTCAGAGGAGGAGCTGGGAAGGCCCTGGATGGTGGTACTGGTTGGTGTGCCACTGATGGCGTTAAAGATGTGAAACGAGTCTGGCAGAACGTTCTTCATGCTATCTTCCACAGGGCTGATCTGCAATGATTAGTGTAAAGGGGGAATAAGATATTAACAAATATCATTTTACCTTGCACTGTCAAATCAAGCTCTAAGTGTAAAAATGATAAGTCAGTTTTTTACAGGGGGTTAAAACTGCAGGTCAAACCCTTTGTTTGCCAGGAGCAGTAACTTTCCTGGTAGAAAGTCCAGGTGAGTCGCACTTCCCAAAAGGTTAAACTGAGGCGCAGTCTCAGCATCCAGTACTCATAACATCAACAGAAAACTAACAACAGTATTAGACTTTTGAGTATATAGGCATAAAGGAAAAAAAACAAATACATAAGCATACACACACAGATGCATGTACATACATATATACATAACACATAAATGTATATGTGCATACATATATGTTATGTACATGCATACACACAGTACATACTGTATACTCACACAAAAACATACATTAATCAAAAAGAAGCAGCACAGAAGTGACTGTTGGTCTAGCCAGTTAATCTTCAGGAGTATCCATAGCAGATGGAGAATAACTGGGTTTAAGTTTGATCTTTTAAATATCAAAAAGATTAGGTGTCCTTATGAAAGGTGGACGTGGACATCATGGGTGAGAATACAAATTTTTTATTTACTGCAGGGATGTAAAGATGAAGCCTGTCTGTGATCTAAACATCTGTTTCTGAGGCCTTAGTTTTAACTTGTAATAAAGAAGCCTTGATATAATAAAAACGTGGTTTATGTGGTTTTCCTAATATGGCAATCACAACCTAGAGATCTATGAAGAATCACTAACATCAGGATCAGTTTGAAATGACAAGCCTATAGCCATCGAGGTGTAGGATATTATCTAAGAACAGATGCCAGTTTCTGGCTGGATCAACAATGATCAACTCAGTTGTTAATGGTACTGTGGTGCTTCTTGCATTACCATCCAATCTGCTCAAGTCAGCACAAGGGAAAAACAGAAAATGGTGTTATCAAAAAGTGCGTCATCAGTCACATTAGCAAAACATTTCAATGAAAGATCATCCTGTTTACTTTACAGTTGTAACATTTGTAATGCAGAAAGTAATTACAGTGATACTTTGGTTGCATAACAACAGCCAGAGCCATAATATACTTACTTGTTCATGCATGATGATGGACAGCTCTCTGGCTAGGTCTCTATAATTGGCTTTCATCTCATCATGATACTCCTGTTGGTCCTCTTTAATCAGTCGCTCATTAATGTTTAAGCCCTGGCCACATGCCTCCACAAAATGCCTGCTCAAAAAAAACAACAAAAAAAATTGTGATAAGATGTGTTACATGAAAATTACACAAGACCTGATGATCTAGCTTTGCACACACACACACACACACACATTATAAGCTGTTAATATCTCACCTGAAGACCTCTTTTAACTGTTTGACCTTGTTATCAGGATACTTCTTGGTGCTTGCGTCATCCAGAAAAGCTCGGGCATATGCAAGCGGACCTGCATTTACCTGAGGTGGAATACAGAAACCATGTCATATTTTAATAAGCTATATCCAGTTGGTGTGAAGTGTGTGTGTATATTGTCCAGATTCAAAGCAGCCACCTGGACGCTGATGCTGCCCTGCAGTTTGAGCTGCAGACGGATCATGTCCACCTCACTGGAGGAGCAGAGCTGTTTGATCTCAGCCACCTTCTTGCTCATTTCATCGATGGCCACCTCGATAGGGCTCAGATCAAAGTGGTGTTGATACATCACTGCAATACGTTTCTTTACATATGGGAAGCAATGTGTTGCTGAAAGAGAGGAACAGTGATAAGAATGCATTGCTTATCTGTGTAATGAACTTTCTGTGCTTGCATGTACATTCTGTGCTTTTACAGCTCCGGTTCCACTCATTTGTACTGTATATCCTTTGAAAGTTCTAAAACAATAAAGATAAGATAATAAGACTGAACCTTTGGCTATTTTGCACCATAAAAGTATGTAACTGTGATTAGTAAAGGTGCTTGATAAACGTCTGATGTACAGAAGATCTAATCATGTACAGGATCTTTCTGCTGAGTGAGGTAATACCCATGTGACAGCCTCCCACATGTTGTATATTTGACTTCCACTTCGTGTGAATATATAAACAGTAGAAGGAAGTGCTCAATGAATTGGGAGGAAAATAGAAAAACACTTGAAGAACACACACACACACACACACTCACACACACACACACACACTCACACACACACACACACACTCACACACACACACACACACTCACACACACACACACACACTCACAC